CTCTCCTTCTCGAGGGAATGGGTCGTCCAGAGAAGAAGGTGATGCTGGCGCAAGATGCTAACGGCCTGATGCAGATATTGGAGATGGCGATCGCTTACACCGAGGGGAGTTTCTCTCAGGAGACAAAGATGAAGAACCTTCGAGCCAAGCTGGCTACGAGCGAGAAGGCCTTGGTCGAGAAAGATAAAGCCCTGAATCAGCTTGAGGAGGAGTCAGGGAGGCTCTCTGAAGAACACATGGTTCTTTTGCTTGAGAAAAAGGACCTTTAGGGAAAGGTGGCGGGCCTGACTTCTGAGGTTACATCGGCTGAAGACGAGCTGAAGGATACTAAGGATCTAAAGACTTGGGCCGAGTTGGTTGCTCGTTTTCAGTTGGCTATGGACGACACTCAGGCTGCTTTTGAGGGGAGCTTTAAAAATGTTGTAAAGCAGTTGCGTTTGTTGAACCCCAGTGTCGAGCTCAACACCTCGGGAGTGGGGATCCATTATTATGTAGTTGCCGATCAAATTTTGGTCCCTGGTTACCTTAAGGATATTGTTGCTTAGCCGACCGGAGGTCCCGCCCAACTGTCGCCCATTGTTGAAGGGGGAGCGGAAGGATGATTGTTGTGTTAATTTCGGCATGCACGTCGTATTCATTGTATTTGTTTTTCTGGGCTATTGCCCGTTTATGTAATACTCACACATTATCGGCCCAAGTGGTCATTTTATTTAATTTCCGGCCAATGGTCGTTTGCTTTGAATATTTAACTTGTGTTTTTTACATGTTTGTTGACAAACTATCCCGTTTAGGACGTTTTATATTTTTGATAAGAGTTTATAGCAGGGATGTGCTCGTTGTTTATGTTCATCAGTGTGGGGAAACTGATCAAACGGTCAAGGTGAATACCGGGAGAGGACCGTAACCCGGGTCTCATTTCGAGGGGCCCAGGTTCGAAGGTGTGAACTTCCCGTCACGAGTCGGGCGTTCCACCGTCGTGGCATAAAGACTATGGAGCTCGATCAAGTTATCCATGTCAGGCTGAGGGTGCGATTGTCAACAGAGTGGAACTTTTCCCCTTCTGAATACTTTGGGTGTGGTGGTTGGTGAATTTCTTCTTCTTCTTCTTCTTCTTCTTCCTAGATCATTCTTGATTGTTCTTCCCTTGAATAACTCAACTGGAACTCTTGATACCAGATGTTGTAAATTCACCAATATCTATGGTGAATTTCTACCAATCTTGATGAATAAGATTGATATCACCATACAATGATAATGAAAAAATATATAAAAAAAAAGAAGACAATTATTTTTCTGCAGAGTTTCTCTCTGCCCACAAACCGTGGAAAACTTTGTTATTCACTTGCAATTGCAAATTCTGTGAATACAACTTAATTGACTTAATTAAAAAAATAGGGGTTACTCCCTCTATTTATAGATTTAGCTTGCTCCCTAAGCCAAAGCCCAAAACTATGAAAGCCCAAAATACTTATTTTAGAACTAAATCAAATTTATCTATTTTAGATTTAAATCAAATCTAAATCTAAAACCAAATTAAATCTGTGTGTAGTCTGCTTCGATCCACAAGCTCTTCGACTGAGTAATGGTTTCCATCGAGTAATCTTCTTCGACAACCTCTAACCCTTCGACACACATAGTTTTGATACACGGGAATTATAATTTAATAGAGATAACCCGATTCATCGGTGGAGCAACACTAATAACAAATAGCATAGAACGAAATCATTGGTGAACATAAAAATCTCATTACAAATTCAAACTTTTTTTCATTGATACCGAACGACAACAATTTACCAGCAATTGGAACTACAAATCAGTGACAACACCAACAACAATCTACATCGACGAAGAGAAACCCAATGAACCGAAAAATCTAGGGGAGAAACTAGGTTTGCACCCATTATGGTTGTGGTGGTTAGGGAAAATACCGTATATGGTGGTCATTGGTGAAGAAACATCATTTGATAGAAATTAAAGAGATTCTAAGGAGAAGAATACAGAGAAATTTACGGGATAAAAAAAATCCATCCATTAGGGTTGTGGTGGTTGCTGTCGACGCCATTAAGTGGAGGGAAGATATATGGATTTGAGAGAGAATAGAGGAACAAACTGATTCATGGGATAAGAAATAAATGTTTTAGTTTTAGGAGAAAATTTGGAGAAGAAATAGTTGATTCATGGAAGAAGAGAGAAAAACTATAACTTTGAGAAAAGGAGTCACGTGATATATTTAAATTTGAGAATTAATCTTAGTCATACACTTAATATCAAGGTTGAAATTTATTCTCATATTCACACTAAAATATATCATTTTCATAAAAAAAAAGGTATATATATATATATATATATATATATATATATATATATATATATATATATATATATATATATATATATATATATATATATATATATATATACCATTTTACTATAATATCAATAATTTATAAATACATTAATTATAAACTAGGGTCGACCGCGAGTATGCACTGATCGCTCGTCCTCGAATGTGTTCTCCGGGTGGCTTGATGGTTAGTTGATTTGGAAGATTGGATCATTGGCTTCGCTGGTTGCCAGTTTCTAATGGGCATGTTCAAGATACCGTACTTTTATTTGTCTATTGAGGTTTTTCCTAGAGGATGACCGCTCTGAGGTATGCGGTCTAAATCAAACTGGTGATTCAGAGTTCTTCGGACTACTCCATTTAATGCTTCAATAATAGTATCCATGCACTATTCTTCACAGTCCGAGAAACCGGACGTCCTTGAGCTCTAAGATTTCTCTAGTGTGTCACCGCTGACCAGTTGTTCTCCTGAGGAATGGCTGAATCCTAACTTGTTTAATCCCTAAAAAAGAACTCAGGTGCTCCACGGTGAGTGTGTCCAACTGGAATGTCGATCGGCGTTAGGATGTGGATATTGACATATCTTTTGGATGAGGGGGTCTCGTATATCCTTCACTTATAACTTCAAGTGAACCCCTGCTTTGTTCCTTGAATGGTGGAGACTCTGGTGCATCTGGGCGTTAACTACGAACTTACGACACTTGAATGCCATCAACTATGAACTTGCAACACATGCATGACGCTGCCTTCACGACCATCATGATCACGTTTGAAAGCGCAGACACATTCACTCAGTCGGTGGTTTGTGGTGCTTGTGCCTGGCTTTCGTAAAAATTTCCTTGGGAGGTCGGCGTAATCCTAGATCTGAATTTGAGATCATTTTCTCCACTGTTCTAAGGATCTTCAATTAAGTTGTAGATCTTGACGGTGAAATTGAGGCTGAGGCGGCAAAAAACCAAATTGGAAATAGCGAACCTTCGTTCTTGCTCTCGAACACCGCCACTTTTGGGACTTGGAGAGAACGAACAAAGACACTTAACGGAGAACACAAATTTATGGAGATCATTCGGATCTGAAGGTAGAGTACGATTCTGGTTCGACTTCGTGAGGATGTTACTAGTTGATGTCTAGATTTGGATTTGAAACTATGGGAATTATATGAATTGGAAGTCAATTCTCAGAGACGACATCACTGTTCTGTTGTGGAACCAAATATGGAGAAGATTGCAGAAACTACTTCGGAGTGAAGCCTCTTGACCAATTATGTGATGCGGCTAGGGATGATAATGAGTATCCATGAGGACGACTATTAGTCCCCTGCTACCCGTCCTGTTTAGTAAATATGATACATGTATCTTTTCCATACTCGTGCGGGTATTCGTCAGATGAATATTCATGGATTTTGAGATACCCACATATATTTACATATATCCATAGATACTATTTTTATATACATTTTGAAATAAACAATTTCAAATTTAACACATAATAATAATAACAAAAATAAATTACATTCATTTTATTTCTTCTTTTATCAAATAATTATATTAAATTCAACAAAATAATAATAATTTTATATTTAAAATAATAATAATAATAATAATAATAATAATAATAATAATAATAATAATAATAGTTTTATATTTAACATAATAATAATAGTTTTATATTAAATAAATTAATATTTAATTAATTTTACTAATTATTAAGAATATAGATACACATGGATACAATACCGTCAAATCTGTATTTGTGCTTGTAAGAAAACAAGTAACTGTTTATTTTACTCGTGGATACACATTATCCAATTCGTGTCTGTTCCAGGTTTTCCCCCTGGGAAAAACACGGGTACACGTTTTTTGGCCATTCATAAATGCACCACATTGAATCAGAGGTTGCAATTGTGATGCTTCTTGAATTAAATACGTTCATCTTGAATCCGCGTTGCTAATCTCCGATAAGAGAAATCAAAGGGGTGTACCTACATGATTAATACTCCCAAAATTTAAGATAATCGTAATGACATTGAAGATTAAAGATTGTGTATTTGAAAAACCTTTGTAAATATATTTATACCTTGAGTCCAATAGAACGAGTTAGATAAATGAAATTTATATTATTGGACTTTTAGCCTACACATAACACATACTTTTTTTTTTTTTGATATTTTTGAAAAAAAATGATATCCTACCTGTTTTTCACTGGCATTTTGAAATTACAAAAAACATACACACATCCACAATTTCAAAAATAACAATAAAACGATCGCGTTATAAAAAAAATAACAATTAAATACATGATCATTTTTGAATTTATAAAAAAATACATAATCAGTTTTTTGAATGACCTACTAAATTTTTGGTTATCCTGACGGATTTTTTGGGACAAGAGGAAATATTCTCAACACTTTATTAATGAAAAAAAAAATTAGAAGAAAATTTTTGATATTAAAAAAATAGGGGGTGCCAAGGTAAAAGTGAAAGAGTGGAAAGACAAATTCTCTTCAATGAACCAGTCCAAGCCCAAGCCTAAAAAGAAGTGACCAATTTTCTTAAAAATGAAAATTTTCGATTTTTCACGTCACTGAAGTGTCATGAATCATGAATCATGAATCAGAACAAATAATCTAACCTTGAATCCAACATCATCATCGTCGATGATCATGAAGACAATCACTGTCTTGTCTCTTCTCCTTCTTGCTTCCACACTTTCCTCTTCACTCGCTAGAGGTTCTTATCAAACCCTTCTTCCATCAGGTTTTATCCATTCTTTGACTTTTTTATTCTTTGCTTAAACGAATCTTATAACTTTCGCATTTAAAGGAATTTAAGTTACATTTATGTTTCAGCATTTAAGATTTTTCTTTATTATTTAGATTCAAAACATTTTTTTACTTAATGTGGAAAATTTTCAGTTTCAAATGTTTACTCTATATATGTTTGAAGTGAAAGAATGCAACTTAGGAGTATAAGAGTTTACATTATTCTGATAATTAACCTGATAAAGTTCTATGTTTAGCTGAGCACAGACACCTGAAACACCAATACTCACAAGTCGACATCGGTAATAATTTACAAAAAATATTAAATTAAATATAATGACAAGTGTCCGTTTCAGACATCGACAAAGACATGCATTTTTCATAGGTGTTAGTGCTAAGAGATTTGAAGTTTCTAACTTCTAACTGCTGATTTGTTTTGATGTTAAAAGATTTCAATCACCGTAGTAATGTGAGCTGTACAAGGCATTTGCTCGAAGAAATTGAATCTCGGTCCAGTACTAGGTAATCCACACAATGGATCTTCTACTGCATATGATCTTCCAATGTGTATGTAACATCAAAATGGTGCTGTTTTGTTTATATAGTTTATTTATTTATTGAATTTTTTTTTTTTTTAAGTAGTGTTGATTTGGCACAAGGTTATATGAGCAATTCTGACCTTGAAAGGGCTGTCAAGGAATTTGGACAAAGATGCAGCAACATTTCTAGGATATACAGGTGATTCCTCATACCTGCACTTTGCGTTTTTTTTTTTAATCTATCTTAAGGCTCGCTATGAGTAAACGAAATCAGAGCATAATTATTGTTTGTAATATCTTTTGAATGAATGAAGAGCTTTACAAGGAAGCACTACTTGCCATTGCTAAACTGACATACTGTTTGTTTCTCTCTTTGAGGGATTCTTTGCGTGGGATACTAGTATTGGGAAGAGTGTGAACGGAGTACCGTTGGTAATTTTTTTCTTCCTTTTGGAATTCATTCATCATAACTTATCTTCGAATCGTAATGGTTTTTCATCTTGGTTGCATGAATGGTGTCGTTCTTTTTTGTTTTCCTACATATAGTGGGTGATTGAGATTTCTGATAAGCCTGGAGAAGAAGAGACCGAACCTGCATTTAAGGCGAGTTCACTTCACTACCTTATATATTTGGTAGTTTTGTAATCAGCAGTTTTGTAACCAGTATAATACTGATGCAGTATATTGGAAATGTGCATGGAGACGAACCCGTGGGCCGTGAGCTTATTATGTTTTTGGCCAATTGGTTATGCGATAACCATTTAAAAGATCCTCTGGTATGTTTCACTTCCTTTCTTTATTTGCAGAAGTATATTCTAATTTCTTTTCTTCGCATTTGTTGTGGTGACAAAAATGGTTGCAATATCTATTATCCATCACACAAGTTTTAGCGGATGGCCAAAAGAAAATTATCCTGCAGCCCTGAAATTTCTGATGATTGAATGTCACATGACAACCTCTATTTGTTTTACAAGTTTATTTAATTTAACAAACGTGTATAACCTACGCCTCCAATATATCAGAATTCAGTTTAAGCATTGAGTTTTGTATTTTTCAGGGAAACTGTTGTTATTTTATGATCCAGTTTTTACTTTTACAATGTCTTACGTTTAGCAAAATGTTTCAGGCCACATTGATTGTGGAGAATGTTCACCTTCATTTACTTCCATCAATGAATCCTGATGGCTTCACCTTAAGGAAGCGTGGCAATGCAAATAATATTGATCTGAATCGGGATTTTCCTGACCAGGTTTTTTTTTAATAATGTTCTGTGTATAATATGTTAAAAATTTAGTTTGAAGCTCATTATTACCATGAAATAAAACTCTTAACGTGAAAATTCATTCTTATTTGTTGTACTTTTTTGACTGAGATTTTACTATTATGGCCATAACTAAGAAGATTATGATATTGTTTGAATATATTTGTTAATGTCTTTGTATAAATATGTGTCACTGTTTATTCATATTGTTAATATTAGGAAAACAAGCTTTTACTTTCTCGATGTTTACTCACATTCTTGGCTTAACTTTTGCATTTAATATAAATTTTAATGTTAGGTTTTTCATACCATGTTGTTATGGTTCTACATACTGCTTTTTCTTGCTAGAGATCATCTGAGAACTAACCTGCTATGACTGTCTCAAATGAACCAACAGTTCATCTTTGTAAACAATGATGAGGATTCCAGGCAACCAGAAACAAAAGCAATAATGAATTGGTCAAGAGATATACGATTTACAGCATCTGCAACATTGCACGGGGTACTTATTTGGAATTTTCATAATAATTTCTACTCTTGGCTGAGCTGTTTATTTCAAGTTTTTTTTTCTTGTACTTTATGGTGGTCATGTTATACATCAAGGAGTTCTATCCTTGCTTTTATTCTACAATATCTCTGTTTTCTCTATTACTAGATACACCATCCCTTAAGGCCAACGTAGAGAATACAAAGGTGAAAAGTTTCTATTGAAAAAGAAAGTATTTATTACATCAGAGATGTAAAGTTCCATAAATACTTATTAATTTCAAATAAAGCTTTATACTTTTGTATTCTTAACGTTTGTCCTAAGGGCTGATGTTAATAGAAGAGTTTTTCTTATCATAATTTGTTCATTAATGGTGTCTTTTTCTTTTACTACTTCAGGGTGCACTTGTTGCAAATTATCCTTGGGATGGTACCGATGATAAAAGGTGGTAAATTATTTTACTGTAAGATGTTCACTGACCTGCTCTCCAGACCTGGGCTCTTGTATTGAATTAGTTTATATTGTTATGAATAAATTACAGGACGTTCTACTATGGATGTCCCGACGATGAAGCATTTCGATTCATGGCAAGTATATATAGCCACTCCCACTACAACATGTCTTCAAGCAAGGAATTTGTAGATGGAATCACAAATGGAGCAGCATGGTATGATTATTTGAAAGTAATGCATTAGAAGTTCATCACTGGAGTCTATGTTCTTTCAATATGTTCATAATTACTAAAGATATCAACGCAGGTACCCTTTATACGGAGGAATGCAAGATTGGAACTATATACACGCTGGCTGTTTCGAATTGACGTTGGAAATTAGTGACAATAAGTGGCCTGTTGCTGCAGAGGTCTGTGGGACCTTTGATGAATCTGAGCAGTAAAATGAACTGCAGCTTCCTATTATTTGGAAATACAACAAAATGAATTGTGTTGACTTCTGTTTACTTATATGAATTGCAGCTTCCTATCATTTGGAAATACAACAAAATGAGTATGCTTAATCTTGTTGCAAGCCTTGTCAAGGTATATACTGTTTCTGCATATCTGCGCCGTATTTTAAAATAACAACGAATGTGTTATTGGAAAAACATAGAATAATTACTGTGAAATATTACCACCATCCAAGGCTGTGAGTGAAGCCTTTTTCAATGTGCACTGAAATATTCAAATATGTTCCTATTTTTGAGGTTTTCGATTCCATTGCTTTTTGTTAGATTGATTAGCTTGTTTTGTTTTCTTACTCTCTAGACGGGAGTGCATGGAAGGATATATTCTTCAGGAGATGGAAGGCCATTGCCAGCCTTAATTACCGTCGGCGGAATAAATTACACAGTATGTCTGAAAGTACATTTAGGTTATTTTCTGTTTCATTTGAAACTACTTATCACTCTAATTCCGGATCAACAGGTTAGGGCCGGAAGAACTTTTGCTGGCTACCATCGCTTACTTGCCCCGAGAGATAAATATGAAGGTATTATGATATCATACTTTCGGATTTTTCATCGTAAGATTACACGACTATCTACTTGTGAGTTTGTGTAATAAAATTTGTGAATCTGAATTGCAGTAGTGGCAACCATGCCTGGTTACAAGTCAAGGAATACAACAATTTGGTTAGATGAAGGAGCTATGACATTGGATTTTGTTCTTGATCCTGAAGTTAGTATGAAAGGGAGTATACTACAAAATGTTTATGATTGCAACTGTGACAGTAAAAGCAAACTAGAATTTGTTGAGTTTCTTTGGGGATCCCACTTGGAAGTTTTCTTTGTTTTCTTTGTTATTTTAGGATTTTTATGCTTATTATTTCAGAAGAGAAAAAAAGTCAAATATTCAACCACCAAACAAAGAACTGTTGTGGTTTGAGGTTTTGCTAACTTATTCGTATCAAACTCTGTTGTATACTAATGTCAGCTTTAGAAATTTTCTTTTTTTTCTTCTTCTGTTTTAAATTTTTTTAATGTTTTAATCCTCCTGTTTAAAGATGAATCTTATGGCCTCCTATATAATAATACTTGTTTTATTTTTTTTTGTTGAGGTGACATTTTCATTTAATACATGTCACTGTTTACCGTGGGAATTGGTAAACAACCGATGATCTTCCAAAAGGTTACTTATTTGGTGACTCGCAGTATCGATCAGATTGATCCTAAGACATGGTTGATTTTGGTGTTTTGACTAAGTTTGGTAATGGTTAAATGACAAGAAAATAAAGAAGCTTTATGTAAATTGCATGAAGAAGAAAACTTGATAGAATAAAGGAAGGCTTGAAATAAAGGCTTCGACTGGAAAAGTAAATGAAGAGCAATAAAGTTCTGGAAAATAAATGACTTTGATTAATTTAAAGTGGTGTTTCACACATACATTCTCAACAATTCTTTCTCTCACGCTGGGTACTCGAATCTATATGAGTGACTCGTATATAATTGTGAACACACGCGAAAAACTGCGTGAACTACTAATATTTATACTAAACACATCCCAAGTAACCGTCGGGCAGTTACGCTGCTTCGAGATGACTCCACTTGGCACGTTCACAGCATTCGGCGCTCCAGATCTTGGCACGTTGCACTTGGTAACCGCTGGGAACCGTTTTCCCTCCAAACGTTTGAATCTCAAACCGTTCCACTCTGAGCAATCGAACACCTTCGTCGAGAAGCACCTTCGACGTCGAAGGCAACCAAATTCTTCCTTGGAAGAAATTCTCTAAGTACATTGCCATCTTCTGATGAGCATTTCGACAGAACCAGTCAGTCGAAACCATTCTTCAGCTTTAATAGCTTATATTAATAAAACAAAGGGTGTCAAATTTAGGAGCCAACAAATTGCCCCCTAAGAATCCTTATTTCGACTCTGAAAAGAAAAAGGCATTCTTTGAAATTCCATTCGACACCTGTCTTTTCATCCTAGCCACAAATTAACCTGTGCACTTTTTGTCTTCTACCAACCACTGGCAATCCCAAGAAAAAGCCATCATTTCATTTGTACCTAAGACGTCACCTCAGTACGGCGTTCAGCGTGCCCAACGTCTTTTCACAAATTGTCATCATGACAATTTCCCAAAAACGAGGGCGCACGCTGCACCTTTTCATTTCTGCAGAACGGCTATGTCAACAGGGGGACGCCACGTGTCCCACTATCTTCTGCAACATTAAATGGCCTCGAATTTGGGGATTTTCCAACCACTATAAATAGCGCTAAGTACCCATTGTGGGACTTTTCACGTTATTCTGCATTCAAACTTCCTTGTTGAACACAAATTCTCTGCAAACTTGCAAACACTTAGTTCTTCACTTCATCTTCAACCTTAACTCAACAATGGCCTCAGGTTCCTCTACCGCTCCCAGTTCTAACATCCCTTCCAGAAATGCTAAACCCAAGATCTTCTCAATTGTCCCCGTAGTTACCCCTACAGGCCAACGAAGGGTTCCTGAATCCCTAGAAACTACTGAGCGTGAAGCTTATTCACACCAACTAATGATTCCGGTTGGATACTCCAACCAAATCTTCGCCATGTCTGGCCCGTTATCCCCATGCATCGATGAAGCCATGAAGATCAAGAGCTTCTTTCCAGTGCTTGAAAAGCTCAAACCTGTTGGGTACTCTAAAAAAGATGCAGAGGACAACGAAGATCCCGCTAAGGAGAAGATAGATCTTCGCTTCTTCAATAGGGGTGTTAGGGCTTTTAGGTCTAGCCCTAGCCTCACACCTGACTATAGCGCTTGGCTGGAGAAGGTGGAAAAAAGCCAGACTTCGATCTGGAAGAAACTGGGGATATATGACCTAGTTATGTTGTCGAAGACGGGTCTCAACTACTCCCCTGAGATGCTGATAGCCTCCTTGCTTTTCTGAGATTACACTCATTTCACTTTCCACCTTCCTTGTGGAATGTTAACACCCACGCTTTTCGACGTGGCTGCCATCACTGACCTTCGACCCACTGGGGATTATTTCGACCCGGAGGAAATGTCTGAGGATCAGATTGGATTCTCAGCTACGAAACCCACCTATACCACCTATATCAACCATTACCATGATAGGTCGACAGCCACTGTGACGGATGTAGAGCATATTGCGTTTCTAGCCCTTTGGCTGTCACGCTTTGTGTTCTGTACAAAGTCTTTACAGGTGACAAAGAAGATGGTCACTCTCGCCACCCAGCTTCATCATGGCCAAAATATTTGTTTGGCAGAATTAATCTTGGCGAATCTGTATGAGTCGATCAGCAGCGGAGCGACTCTGTTGAAGGTCATCGAGAATAGAGCTAGCCTGTTGCTTGCAGGACCTTTTTGGCTACTTCAACTGTGGCTCAATGCCACTTTCGAGTCTTTCTTACCTCAGAAGACTCAAATAAATGAGCAAGCCCCTGAGATAGCAAATAGGCGAATTGAAGGCACCAGATTAGCTCTACTGACCCCGACTGAAGATGGGCTGGAGCTTCAACAGACTTTTGCAAACTTCGTCTTGATGTTTGCAAAAAGAAGAGAATTTGCTTCGACCATGGATCCTTTCGCTCGACGAAAGGTTGGTCCAAAATGGTTCACCAGGCCCCATCCTAAGTCGTCAGGTGACCCTCATGTCGAAGAACATACAATAATGTGGGAAGCATTTCTCACACCCAGAATAATGCCCTTACGCTTCAAGAGCTCCAAGACTCACCTGAGCTTGATAGCTTACCAACCAAACTTGGTTTCTCGACAGTTTGGTATAATTCAATCACTTCCTTCTCCTATTTTTCCTAGGGAGAAGTCAATGTTATATTTTTGCAATGACTATACTGAAGATGCTGCCACCAAGCATATCGGCAGGTATGCAGGTCGAACAGTACTTTCACTGTTCGATTATCAACTTAACTTTCTCTGTTCACCATCCTTCGAAGACTGGTGGAAGAGTTACTATGCTGAAGAGTTCTTCGACGAGAAAGATTTTGAGGACGAACTTCAGAAGTCTTTCGTTCTAGTCCTAGACAAAATAAAGAAATGTAAGTTCATTCTCCAAATTATTTTGTCTTTCCATTTCGACTGGTAGCCTGTTAATTATAACTTGTCTTCTTTCAGTTTTTCGAAAGCCTGCATCCAAGAAAGCTGCAAAAGGCTATCAGGGAGGAGGTCCCTTGACAAAACCTCCACCACCGGCGAAAACTACAGCACCGACGAAAACTACAACAAGCCATCAGGGGGAAGGTCCTTCGAAAAAACCTTCAGCACCGGTAACCAGACTTTTATTATTTTCTTCTGGTTTTAACATTCTGACTTTCGATGTAGCATTCTAAATCGAACTCCAATTGGTTTTCAGGCACCTTCACCCAAGAAACGACCTACACTGACAGTCGAATCTGGGAGTGACGAAGAGGACAAATCTCCCTCCGCTCCTCTTAAAAGGCGAAAACTGAAGAAAGATGTTCCTTCTCCTGAGACTCGACCCACAATCAGAATAAAGGTTGCTGGGAGAAAACCCAGGCCACCTCCAGTAATTATTGAAGAGCCAACGGAGGAGGAACTAAATGTTTTGCTCAATAAACCCGTCGAAAGCGATAATTCCAGCCATGGGGCTGAAGTTCCTCTGCAGGTAATTTCTTTGACCTTTCTTAACTCAGGTGTCGATGCTCACGTTCGATTGTGTCTCTTTCTAACCTAGAAGATTCTTCTTCTTCTATTTTCAGGAAACCACTGAAAGTTCAGCGCCAAAGACTTCTGAAACACTAGACTCTGCTGAACTCAGTAGGCCACAAGAGAAGGAATTGGCGAACGATGAAGCCAATGCTGAAACAGAAGAGCAAAAACCAAAGGAGATTCAAGTGGTCGATCTGTCGGAGGAACAACATGATGAAGGGGATCACGCTGATGCTGGCACTGCTGAAGTTCAAGTCGAAGATAGTCATGTCGATGCAAACGCTACTCAACAGCTTCAACCCCAAGACAACGCTGCTGCAAAGGTTACCACCTCGACAAAGCATAAGTCCAAAGAAGACTTAGCACTCTTGAAGCAAACTGATCCCATTGGCTATCTGAATGCCATTATCGAGAGCAGGGGAAGTTCATCTGATCTTAGTCAGGAGGCTTCTACTCAATCGGGGAAGTCCACTGAGACTTCTCCTCTCGATGAGGCTTTGATGAAGGTCAAGGCTCAGTTCTTCAAGAAAGATTTGATGAAGGCTTTGGAGGGGGACCCCACTGCTCCGTCGTGTTTGGGAGCTGTTTTGAATGCAGTTGACTTGCTCGCTGTGACTCCAGAGGTTTCGAGCTTTATCATGGAGTTATCCTCCATTGTTGATCAAGTCTCAGCAGACTATCGACAACAAAGGGGCTTCAACAGCCAGCTCGAAGCGTTACATGGCAAAAGTTCTTCTGCCTGGACTGCAGTAGCTGAGACGACTTCTCGAATTGCAGAGTTGTCGAAGAAAAAGGCATCTAAGCAAGAAGAAATTGATGCCATAGATCGAGACAATGCCTCCATAAAGGCGCAAATCGAAGAGCTGGAGGCCAAGATGAACGCTAATACTAAGCGCAAGGAGGAACTTCTCTCGACTGTTTCAGACACCGAGAGTCAAGCTGAAGTTACGCGAGGCCTAGAGTTTGCTGAGAAAGCCCAAGCCTTCGATGACCAAATTGCCAAGCTTGCCCAGGCGAATGCCTTGTGCAACAAAAGACTGGAGTTGCAGCAGGCCAAGTACCTTCGACTCAAAGATTCTATCCCCTTCTGATTGACTAAGCCCTTTAATCATGTATTGTAATATGTATTTGACAATGTCGCCATTTTGGCTAATTTATAAAATTTTCCATTTTGGCTTATTTATGGTTAATTTAGTCATTACTTGCTATTTATTTTGATCTCTTGGAGCATAGGTTTATACTTTTTCAAATATT